CTTTAACAAACTGTATATCATATATATCTTAGGTTTCTTTGACTTATCCTAGCTATTAAATTAATTTAGAATAATTAGTTATAGCATAATAGAAAATAGGCAGTATAAATATCTTACAGAGTGTCTTTTATAACAGCACAAATATAGTTAAAAATTTTTAAATATGAAATTTATTCTATAATATTTAAATAAAATTTCATTATAGCATTTTTTTTAAAAAAAAGACATAGTAATTCTTATATTATTTTTTATACTCTGTTTTAGAAATCATTCAATATTAACATTTGCTAATTTACTATTTTATTATATTTACTTCATTCTAACAATGTATTGAATATAGTTAACATAAAATTTAAATATATCTAAGATGTTAAACATCATATATTTATAATTAGGGGTTAGGATTAAATTTTAAAAAATAAGCTTGAAGCGCTAAGTATTTATACTTAAAGCACTAAGCATTAATTCTTTAGTCGTTTTTTGGATATGGTAACACCTACAGTGCAGTTTAGTGCATTTTAGTAAACCTAAATTCAACTTTTCACATGTAGATTCGTTACTCCATTGCTTGTTAGTAAAAGCATCAATGTGTCGGCAATATACTCTCATATTTCTGCTTAGCAATTTCCATTAATTCTGCAAATTCACCACTTCTCTCACACATTTCTCTAAATAACCCATCAAGCTTTTGCATCAGTATGTATGGACTATCAAATTCAACTACATTTCCAGCATCTAATTTTTGGAGAGAATTAATATTTCAAATCATTAAAAATTTTACCTTAAAAATACGTACCCATAACCAGAATTCTATCATAGTCTGCGACCGTACGCAATCTATGAGCAATAGTAATAACAGTATTATCTTTAAACTCTTTCCTAATTGTAGCTTGTATTAGATGATCAGTTTTGAAATCTATACTCGCAGTAGCTTCATCCATTATAATCAATTTGGAATGACGAACTAGTGCTCTGGCCATTGCAATCAGTTGTTGTTGACCTTGGGAAAAATTTGATCCATTTTCTTTGACAGGCAAGTCAAGCATTA